TTTTTTTCAATTTTGCACATTTAATTCTTTTGGGTGCCCCCACTCCATAGCATGGGTGGACAGAAAAGAGCAGAAGCCGATTTTGGCAGTTTATGAGGAAACAATATTGTCACAGGTGAACATAATCTTGGTTAACACTGTCCCGCATTTATCCCTCAATTGCACCCAAACTGCCTCTCGTCATTTCTCCATTTATCATATACCCGTCATATTGCAACGACGCGGCGTCTCCCGGATAGCCGAGAATGCATATACCCGTCTCCTAAAACACATCGTCTGTCAGAATTTGCACCTCTTACAAAGTCTTCTCCATGAGACGTGCAAACCCGGTTTAAAGGGCCATCAATTCTGTGTTATGCGTGATTATAATGTGTGTTGTAATAATATTATTTTTGTATGTTTTATTTTTTTATGTATGTTAAATTTGCAAATATGTTTTCTTTTCTAATCTGTTCAATTCACTTACATGGTTTTGTGACAAAAATGTTGACAGTTTATAAGAAACCATCATCTTCCCTTTGCGTATGATATGCTATAAAGGATTAGAAACCTTTAACTAACCTAGAAACCGAAACTACAGCCCCGTAGTCGAAAAAAACTACAATTTGTGGATCTTTTGAAATTGTTTTTGAGCCTGTCCCAGAATTCTAAGACAATATTTTTCTGAGAATATAAATTATTTTCTTATTTTTCATATTTTTTTCAGTTAGATAAAAATGTTAAGTTGAAGAAAAAATTTTAAATTAAAAAACGGGTTTGTAAAGGGGCATGGAAAATATGATGGCCAAGAAACCTTTCAAATAGGTACATTATTTCTATGCTAGAATTATAGTTTAACTACTCACGTCATTTGGTTTAGAGGAACTTTTTACCATCTTATCTGGGGGTACCCTGTATGAATTCAAAGTAGGAGTGAAGTTTCATTACAAAATTGTAGTGGATCCTAAGCATATCCCTAGTTCACTTATAAAATAAATGATTATTTTGCAGGCTTGGGTACATAATGATCGTTGGACTAAACATGCTGATATGCTTAAGCAGTATGGTCAATGCCTCAAGAGAAATTTACTTGAGGAAAGAAAGAGAAATGAAAAAATAAATGATTATATCAGCAGTGAAAATATCTCAATTTATATTGATGTATGGACATCGTTAAATGGACGTTTCCAACAACGAATGTTTGACCCAACAGTGGATTTATTGAAAGCAGAATGGTCTCCTTTTAATAAGACATCTTGGCTCATGCCTTTATTAACTGAATTCAGTTCATGGCGCCAAACTATGGAGAAGTTGGAGGCAGAAATATATGCTTGGTCCAATTACAGTGATGTTCTATTTGTGGCTGACTTTCCTGGTAAGAAATTACTATAATATTCTAAGGTATAATTGAAATCATATGGTTATGAGCCTTCTTTATCCTTCTACAGGACTTCATCTTGAAAATTACATTAATCCTGAACTCTCAAATGTCACTTTCACTGTTTTGGAAGGAGAAGTAATTGTACAAGATGTAAATGGAGATGATGATGATGATGATGATGATGATGATGATGATAATACGAAGAAAAATTATACTCTTGAAGTGGGAAAAAGCATTCAAATTCCTGTTGGGAAATTTCATTCAATTTACACTATTTCCCAACAACCTTCCTGTTTTATGTACACTTACATGAATCATTCCAGGCAAAGTCTAGATGAATCTCCTAATCACCACGAAAAACTGTTCACTGAAAGAATGAGGAGTTCTTTAAAAATTCACATAGATAATTTTATGAGAGCTGTAACACTAGTCAGTAACAGTTTCCTCAATATTGTATATTCTGTACCTATGGTTAAAAGAGTGAGAGTGCGTTGAAGGCTAATGCCCTTACTCAAAAACAAAGAAAAATTTCTTTAAGGAAGTACAGAAATCTAATTGAGTTGTGTGTTATTGTTTCATATTGTAAAATTTGTTGGGCAGCAGACTGTGTCCTCTGACCAAAATATAATAAATCCAAGCATTTCATTTCAGTATAGCAGCAAAATTCTTTGAAAAACAGGATGAAAGTAGGTGCCCAAAAAGATGAAATAAAGTTACAATGACAAAGCTTTTATTTATGTGAATGTGATAGAAGCTTTATGAGATGTATTAAGTTGTTAACTAAGTATATAAAAATGGATGTTAATGTACCAAAGATCTATGAACTCCACATCGTTTGACCAATCTCCTTTGACATATCTATGTTTTTAATGGAGATTTTTATGCTGTTCATTTTGTTGTAACTCCACTAGTTGGCGCTGCAGCACAAGATGGTGCTTCATATTAATTCAGTTTTCATTCTATATCAGTTCCACCTGGGTTTCATTGTTGTTGCGTGATGCAGGGTGAGGACAGGATGGGCATTGCAGGAGAGAGACAGAGACATAGACAAAGCGACACTGACAGAGAAAGGGAGGGAGGGACAGCATTATGTCTGTTAGTTTCTGCTGGTTTGCTACAATCCTTTTTTTTTTTTTTATTTTAAGTGTATACTGTCCTAATGATTTCTCAATTTGCTTCAACATAAATAATGTAATTGTATTTTTTTATATTGTTTTTTAAATAATTTTAAAATTGTAAAGTTTTATAGACAACTAAAATTTAAATTGAAAATTGTGCAAATCCTTCAAGTTATGTATTGCTTTTAACTATGTGTTTCTTTGAACATCAAAGAGAATGAGTTCTAATGTAACTCTGAACCAAGGATGTCAAACTGCTGATTCATGTTGTATATTTTTTACATTGACTATGTCCAGTAACTGAAAATAAATGTTCCACCACAATGAAGATATCAATTTTTATTTTGAGGTCTTGATCTGAACTGATAAATGGAAGGAGTTGCAATTTTGTTACAAAAGAGTGACAGACTGTTAGTATTCAGTCAACTATTGAACCTACTTTCCATTTACAATTTGATTATCATTTCTCATTGTAAAACAATGCATATTATTTATTACTCCCATTTTTAATTCTCTCATGAAATATTAAAAATAATTATGAAGTTTGGAAATCAAAAAAGAAAGTATAAATTTATGTTGCATGTTGTTTAGATATCATGTTCTCAGTACAGCCTTTAACTGAAAAAAGTTTGACATCCTTACTCTAAACCAAAAGTAAAAGAGATGTGTTTGTGTAAACATGAAGCAGTCAATCTTACTAGAATAATTTGTGTAAGACAATATTACTAGCCTGTCATTCATAACTGAGCATTTGAATATTATTTTCAAACATGAAACTGTAGAGTGGTACGATATTTTCTGAATACCATTGTACAAACATGAAATGAACCAAAGCTTTTGCAACATTGCATATTGATTGTTCATGATATTATTTTTGTACGTTATTCAAGCTTTTTTTTTATTTTAAAAATAAATCTCTTTACTTATGAAATGCTGTATAAAAATATTTTATTTGCCTGGTGACGCAGGCAACGGGAACAGCTGTGCTCAAGGATGTATTTCTCCAAAGGCTGCATTTTAAATCCCACATAAGGAATGCGTATTTTCATTATGCGTTTGTGGTGTGAAGGCTCTTTTCACTGCTTCCAATATTCCATCTCTGATAAACATTCATCCATAATCTATCCCCATACTTGATTTATACAAACTGCCATGCATTACCTCAGCAGAATGGCTGGCCAACATGGGCCAAGGAGATTCTCCGGGTACCAAAGATTGTGTTTGTGCGTGTGAGGGGTCCCTATATCAAAGTCCATCCCAGCAAGGCCTAGTACGGAAGGAGAAAGATCAAATGGCAGTCCCTCAGACTGACAAAACAAAAAAATAATGTTGTTGCATTTTTTAGGAAAAATACCTCAAAATTTTCTCCAACCTCTGAAAGATTCTTCCACGAATTCCGTGATTTTTCTCTTATTTCAGTGTTATCCAGAAAGTAACCACCCTGTTGCTGTGTTATTTTGGAAATGTGCATTCTCACCTCCAAAATGGCATAATATTCTGGGAAAAACACACATTTCAGATGGATGTCTATTGATTAGCAGTAAAGCATTCCAAAAGGGGTCCTTGTTTAAACATTTTATATTTTTCTATTTATTCTACTTTGCCTTAGAAGTGCTAAATTCTTTTCTATCTAATGATTCACAATTTTTATACAGTACCTGAAATTACTTTATTTAGCAAACATTAATTGTTTCATTTGTGCTCTGATTTTAAGTATAAATTCAAATTTAATATTTGGGGGTTATTTCTAGTTTTTGGACAAGTTGAATTTAGGTGTTAATAAAATTAGTCTATTTATAATTTATATTCTGTTCAGTGTGTGTTCTTCAGTCTTGTTTATAGGTAATTCAAGTGATTTTTTAAGTTATCAAAAATTTCAGCCTGCAGTCTCTTATATAGAATTACACTCTTATTTCCTTTACAAGCTTTATAGATCAGAAAGACAATAATTTGTCCCTTAAACATGAAAGCCTTCATTGTATGATGTAGTTTTTCTGATTTATATTGGAAATTATATGATTAATGACATGACTCAAGCATCGTTAAACAATACCCAAGAAGAGATACACAATTTACTACATGTATATAGAAAGATAGTTTAAATAATGACTAGTTGTCAGAACAATTCAATTCAAATATATTGCCCAAATTAAAGTTCATCTATAAGAAAATAGTAATGATTCTATCTAAACTTAATTTTGGGAAAAATTACTTCAGAGTTAAGTAATTTTAACTCTCACTGACAACAAATTTCTTGTACATTTATTCAAATTAATTGTGGCAAAATATGAACCTTCAGGAAATAAGAGTGCAACAATCATAAATAAATATGTATCTTGATGCAAAAGTGCACTGAACATTACCCAGTTAAAAAATCAAAAACGTTTATACAGTAATTTATCTTCGATGACAATGGAGGTATTCATTATCACGAGGTATATTATCATCAATGAAATAAAAGACAATTACATTATTTAAAATACTCTATTTTTTTGATAAGTTTTCTTCCCTAATCTCTGATTTAATTATGTTGTCTTCTAAAGTTTGATCAACACGGTTATCCATTTGGGAGCTTCAGTCCAAAATATGAAGTTGTGAGAAAGCTCCCATATGGATAAACGTGTCCCGCTGATGAAACATCAAAGTCACTATAATTACATCTGAGTGTACTGCCCATTAAATTTGCTCAAGCAAAACATTACTAGTTGTGTAATTTTAAAAACCTTCACTGACCAACACATTTCTTGTACATTTATTTCAGATTTTTCTTTATTTGAATGTTCTCTATACACATCATGTTCTAGCTAATGAACAAAATACTAAAAGAAGAACTCTACAATATCTCATCAGTGAATGTATGTCACAATAACAAATAATAAAACAAGGTCACAATATAACATTTCTTAGTAATCCATATCACCACGGTGAATACAAACAAATCTGCTAGTTAGTAGAACAGCCTTTATAAATCAATCACATAATTTTATTCCATCAAAGTATGGATTATTTTTACAACAGATGTAACTACTCCATTATAATTATACTTTTCCCAAATCCATATTAGCCTCTAAATCTTTAATTTTCTGAGATAATTCACTAGATGAATAAGATACTTTTGTTTGGGTTTTATGAATCAATTTTGATTCATTTTTAGACTTTCTTTCCCGAAACTCAAAATATTCTGGTGATAATCCTTCTAAATACAAAATTTTATCTTCTATTTTTTTTAGGCGTTCAAGCACATCAGAGGAAGTATTAGCATCAAAACCAAGATGTTCTTCAATATTTCTTAGCCTTTCATTCAATGCAAATTCTTTGTTATCACTTGGATGGGTCATAACCGTTTTCCCTCTGCCTCTGTTTTCTAATATTCTTTTCTTAGCGCATCCTTCTTCACGTGTAGCATCATCGCCTAATTGATTAAATGTTTCATTCATAGAATTTTGAGTCTGAGGACCACACACATTGAACACCTTCCTGACTCGCAAATGACTTTTGCAATCTTTTCTGTGAATCTTGACTGCATTAACTCTGGCGCATGAGGTTTCGTCTAAAGGAAATTTATTGATGCAAAAATCACGAATGTTGTCTTTATTAACTTGTTCTCTTCTTCTTTGGATAAATGAATTTATTCGCAGATTTATTTCTGAACTTGAAGCTTTAACTTGAATCAAGTCTGCCGGAACTACATCAACGACATGATCATCACAATAAAGTTTTTGTCTCCTTCCAATGATTAACTCAATAGCTGTATTTATTCCTTCTGAAGCTACATGATAAGTAGAGGCTAAACAAGCAATAGCTAAACATGGTTCATTGTCAGAAGCATCTAACCAACAATTAACAATTATTTTCTTGACATGATGTTTTTCATTTACTTCCCTGCAAACTTCGATTAAAAATGCATTTATCACTTGATTACGAGAGTGACCTGTAACAGTGCTCAATACAGACTTCTCAAATGTATCATTCCTGTTTCCTACAAACAAGGACACAGCACCAGTGGCACATTTTGATATTTTTTCATATAATTGTTTGACATTTATATTGCAATCAAGAATATTAACTTCCATGATAACTGTAGAACAAAAGACATTAAACGAAAATTAAAATTAAACAAAATATATCTACAAAAGAAATTCTACAATCTTGTATATCAAACACCAAGAAAAATTCTATGAAATACACTTATCACGTTGAGAAAATTTCTTCACACAAAACATATATAAAAGGGGATACCGTAACCTCAATTTCTAAATTAGCCATCACCAGTTACATAATTTTCTGGTAGGAAAATAGAGAATGTGCATCACAAATTTGGTGTCAAATTTTCACAAACAATTATCTTGTCACATTAAGATAATTAACCACCACTTAATGGCGGAATGACAGCAATTTCGTCACCGTTTTTTAAACATAAAACATCATTAGAACTCGCATATTCCTGATTATGGGCCAATACAATGTTTCCTTTGAGAGAGTCCAAAGAGAATGTTTTTATGATTAAATCTATCAGGTTTGCGTACGGAATCGGGGATATTAATTTCAAGGAATCTTCTTTCAAACCGCTTAATTCGCGTGCTTGAGCAAACAAAAGAACTTTCACGGACACTTCGCCGGGTAAAGTCGCCATCAAAATGAATAAATGATATTCGCTGCACAAATCACACAATCATACTGTGCCCGAAGCAGCAATTACTACGTACGATTATCATGCGTCAGCCTATAACGATTACATAATATTAACAATAATGTTCACATCAAGTCAAGCGTTCTTTTCTTGGTTGGTTTCACACGCATCAGGCACCTGTCACGCACAAATTCAAGTGGCCAACGTGTTCCAATTTTCCAAAATGTGGCGCTCTATACTTCGATTTTTATTTCTTTGCGCGTGCTGTCTTCACGGTGGAATAAGGAGTTTGAACACCCTCGAACGTAAAGGCACTATCGATATATACTCTCTGCTATCGATCTGCGGATGCGCAATTCAAGTTTCTAATACCTTTAGTGCATCTGCGCATGCACAGAAGATCGACACCGTTGTCCACTATGGCGTGCATAAACTTCCTACACTGCGATTTATTTAACTCTGTCCCTGGCAGATATCAGCTGTTTCATCCAATCGGGATCTTGAACGTCTCTATGGTCAACAGCTGATACCGGCCAGGGGCAGAGTTGCGAAAACCACAGTCAAGTATCTCACGAGTTTCGCATGTTTCTCGGTGTGCCGCTAGATGTCGTATGATCACCAGCGTTCAGTTGCGGCTATCCCTCGACGATCTTATTATCAGCGCTTAGGTTGAGTTTGCTATTGATATTGCTTTTGCATTTAGACTACAATAATGATTAATTAGTACGTTTGGTTACTATATTCATGTATGATTAGAGTTATAGTGCATTAGCAATATTGTGTTTATACGTGACAGTTTTTTCAACTCGAAAGAATTCTTTCAATTCCAAATTGTAGCAATTTATTAGTAATTAAATAAGAATAAATTATCTGAAGGTTTCCATCGAGCTATGACCCGAATTTAACTTGTGTGTGTGCCAGTTCCCAGCTCACACCCGTTTTCGCTGCGAAGATACGGCCCATTAATTCCAAATTGTGGCAATTAATTAGCAATAAATAATTTGAAATGTTTCATTCCGGGGTGCTGACATGGCTGTTCCAGCTTGACGCACCTCGAGTGTGTGGCAACACAGCTTCACAGCTGACGACCTTTCATGCCCAACTACAAATTAAAAGAAGTATAACCGTTAACCACAACTGGCTCTACGGTCTTGCCCCATCGTCTTACTACCTGCCATCGATCGCCACCCGAATTACATTTTGAAAACTTTTTTCCTCAATTTTTCGGTTTTCTTATAGTAGAAGCAAAATATTGCTTTAAGAATATTATAGATTACAGAACCTTCTCCTATATGGAAATTTTTGTTGAACAATTTAAAGTCGTATTTAAGAAAATGGCGTTTAAGCGTTACTGTAAATGCGAAATTTGAAGCTCTTTTTCACAGAAATGTTTTGTGCTTTCGAACTACCTTATGGGAAGTCATTTAAAGCGCATCCACTCACAAATGCATTATTGTACACAAATGGGTGGAAATGTGTATTTTAGTGTGGCTGGAAATGTGTTTTTACTCCAATATCCATGTTTTGTGCGTCCTTGATACCGAAAAATCGATTGACTTCAAAATGCACACTTTTCTCGCTCAGTACAATATTTATCTAATGACGCTGGGACAGACGTGGCTTAACCCGAATCTTTCTCTCCATATTCCAGGTTACATCTGCTACAGAAACGACAAAGCAACACAAGCAGCGAAGTGACTGACGCCAACAGAGGAGGCGCCACAGCAATTCGAATACGACGCAGCGTCTCAGTTCTTCCGCAGCTGCAGCACGCCGAGGCCCCCGCTGCTGTCGTTCAGGCGGAACGTGGGCCGCTGCGTCTCACTTCTATCTACGCTCGTCCCGACCGCTCCGCGGACACGTGCGCCCTTCTAGCTGCAGATTTTGCAAAACTAGTTGTGGCAAACACAACCCCAACACTCGTGGCAGGCGATTTTAATGCCAAACACACGACATGGAGTTCCCGCATCACCTGCCCTCGCGGCCGTAAGCCGAAAGCAAATTGCTGATGCAAACGGGTGCGAGATTACGCTCCAACTGCACCACCTATTACCTTTTTCAAAGAAACGACAAGCCCGATGATTTGGATATTGTACTTTGGCAAAAAATCCATCATCTTCCTACACTGACAGTTATTTGCGCTTTCCTGGGACAGCGGGAGTGCGACGAGGCGGCCTGCCGCTGTCCGCTGCGTCTACGGCGCAGATGCGGCGCCTCATTGCAAGCGACTGCAGGCGGAGCTGCGTTCGGGACGCGCCCGCTCTGACAGCCGCAGCAGATGGAAGCTGGAGCTTTACGATTCGCCCAAGCGGAGACTGACAGCCTCAACGCAGCAGCCGAGAAGCAATCGGTGAATCAGTGATGAGCGGGAGCTAAATCGATTCAAACGTAAAGTGGAAATCGAACTAGCGGAATACCGCAATCGGAAATGGGATAAATTGTTATCAGGCCTCAAACCTGAAGATAACTCGCTGTGTAAAATCTCTCGCATGCTTTCTAGAACTCCAATTTCAGTTCCGCCGCTTCAGACCAGCACAAGAAAGGACGCAGAATCGAACGAGGCAAAAGCGGAGATCCCTGCTAATGCTCGAGAATCTCAGTTTCAGCGGGTGGAGGAGGCGCCGCCAAAACCGCACGTTGTCGAAGTACAACAAACGGTAACGGCGGCAGTGCACGCGCCCTCCGACGAGCCGAGTTTCACAACAGAAACAGAAGTCAAAGCGGCCTTCACGGAGCTGAAAGCTGAAGAAACTCTTGGCCCGACGGCATCTCTGACGTCCTCAAGAAGCTGCCGCAGCAGGCCATAGTGTCTTTGGTTGCTTTGTTTAATGCTATATTTGTGTTTCAGCACTTCCTGAGTCAGTGGAAATACGCGCATGTGTTAACTTTTCATGAACAAGAGAAAAGCCCGCAATTGTCCTAGTGGTACAGGCTAATAAGCCTACTTAACACGCTCGGAAAATTATGTGAAAAGCTCATTCTAAACAGAATTCGCAAATTTGATACAGATAATTCTCTTACAAATAAAGAGCAGTTTTACTGTCTCACGCTTTATAAAGCAATTATTGGGCCGCAAATAGACAACGCATTCCCCAGCTGGGCACTAGCAGCAAATACTCATTAAAAAAGCTGCAAGTAGTTCAAAGTGAAAACCTAAGGGCCACCCTCTGCACCCACAGGTACATTCCAATATATGAGTTACATCATGATTTATTAATGCCACTGCTAATTAATCATATCAAAAATATTGTTTCAAAATCTTCGAAAAAGCAGTTGACTCGAAAAACTCTCTCATTTCCGAGATCGCCTTATACCAACCCGATCAATGATTGAAGTATAGGCGAAATACGCACTTCCTGGAGTAAGAGTAATCTGAAACAGTGAAATGAGACTTGATGTATAAACTTTGTATTTCCGCTAGCGCAATGCGCGTGCCAGTTGACTAAAGTCATTTTTGGCCCTCTGTTTTTCTTTGTGCTGCACGATTGAGTGTAGATGCCCACAAGGGTAGGAACCTTGTTGCTCCTTTCGTGCGTGCGTACACAAAACTGCACAATTGAGCTCGCCTTGGTAGAAGCAGAGGTAGGCCGAGGTTGAGATGGAATGATGGGTCGAAAGAAGATATGAGGAGCCTAAGAGTGAAAAGGTGGAGAATAAAAGCAGGAGACCGAAGATATTGGGCTATCGTAACAAAAGAAGCCATGGCAAAACTATACTGCCGCAGAGCAGACAGATGAAGAATTTCTGTCTAAATGCAATGATATTTCTCGACATTATTTCTTTACTTAATGGTAAGTACCGATACACTCCTTTCAAAATATTAGTAGTTTTTGCATTATTTTGTTTGCATGGGGTTTTCAAGGGATGTCTAAAGTGTTAGCAGAATAGAAGATGATATATAATAATACTTAAACTAAACCAATAGTACGAATAAGTATGTGCTGTTGGAGCACCATTATTTTGAAATGTTTGAAAAAAGACAAAACGTGCTTTTGAGGCCGGGCGGTCAATATAAATACTTTGCGGCAGCCGCGCTTGCCGCCTCAGTTTACCATAGCAACTGATTCAAAAGCTCAGCTTTGTCGCCATAAATACGATTTACGTCCACAGTTTTGGTCTCGTTAAAATGCTTATATTTGCTTGCTTGCGTGAATTTGAATATTAAGTCAATATCGCGTCTATATTACATCTCTGTGTTACATAAATACTTTGCGCATATGACACGTAGAACTTAAGAGCCAACTGAAAGGGAAGGATACAAGTAGATTGCCCGACATGAATAAGTAGTGGTTGAATTTAAAGAAATGTGAGCATTACATGATTTACAAGTAGTACTTTGCGGCAGCCGCGCTTTCCGCCTCTGTGACCATGGCAACTGATTCAAAAGAGCATTACTTAAAGTAATTTGTGATTTATTGTTGATAAGGATTCAGAGAAGTAAAAATTTAAATGCATTTTAACCCACTCAATATCTATCCATTATCCAATGTTATTCATGTTGCTTATTGCATGACATTTAATGCTTTACCATTTAGAAAATTTTTGAAAACTTTACAAATTTCTGGAATATGTCAATAATGCATTTTTCACCATTTTCCCACCTCATTTTTCTTTTCTTAAATCCTTTCAAATTTGAAACTTTTTTCTTCTAAAATTAAGAAATATTTTCACATTAATTTTGAATTTAATTTATTTATCTATTAGACTTCTTATTCTTAAGAGTGAGAAATTTGTTAGCGTTAGGAGAATAGTTTGTACTTTTTTCTTCAAAAGTGTAGTATTACACTTCACGTACATTTAAGTTTATTGTAACTTGCTTTCCCTATAGTTAAAAAAAAGAATTTATCAAAGTAGGTAACTCACCTCAAAAATGATGAAGAAAGAATCTTTCTAAGATAATGATTTGAAAGATATAGCCAGAGAAAGACGTTTTTTAGTGCTTTAGGAAAATTCTTTGATAGCTACTAAATCTCATTTCAATACTACTTTAGCCCTCTGTCATAAAGTCAACCATAGCAAGAAACTACTTCATCCATCAGATACTACTTCATCCTCAAACAAAATGGTAATTACTTATTTTCCTTTTCTTTATGTTCAAAATTCTATGTTATACAATTTCATAAGCAATTCAGTGTAGATTTACTTGATGCAAATTAATACTTGCAACCTTTTCCACAAATTCATGAAATATTTTTTGCTAACTTTCTAGCCTCCCAAAAAAAAGCTTTCAAAGAGAGAGAAAGCACTTCTTGCTGCAGAACAAGCGGAGAAGAAACGCATAGAAGCGGAAAGAGAAAGGTAATTTATTTCTGGCAATCTGTCAATTGCCATTGCCAGTTGCTATTGACATTGCAAATGCATCTTACAATATAAGATAGTGGGGCCTGAAGGTTATCGCACATTCTGTGTATCAACTAATTTTGTATTGTATTTATATGACATTTATATTGAATTTATGATGTACATTGTGCTCCCCACCTGTAATGTGTGCAGCAGAGTTATGGTCAAGAAAACGTAAATTAATATAATTAACATTATAACTATATAATAATAATAACAACAACAACAAAAACATTATTGCTTCTCAACTGTAATCTCCTTTTAATCTTTTCTTCTTTTAATGTGAGCAACACAACAGTAATCAAGAAGTCAAAACTGTATTTTAATATTCCGGCATTTGTCTCTATTGTAAATGTGTAAATGCAATATTATTAAACAAACCTTTATGTGAATGTTTTAGAGTTATTTAAAATTTTGCCTCAGTATATTCATTCATGCTGTAAGTACTGATATTTTAATATGATAAGTAGAGGCACTTTTAGAAAAGTTTCTGTAAGTAAATATACATTTGCCACGATTCGAAATATATTTTCTCCCTTGTCTAAAATAGAATTAAATAAATAATATTTAATAATAAATAATATTTAAATAAATATTATATTGAGGTCATTATCTGCATACAAACATACAAAGGTAGTCACCAATTATAATGTCAAGGCTATCTTTTGTATGATTTTGCATAGTATTGTTTTCTTGTTAAATATTAATGTTCAACAGCCATGTTTCTTCTTAATTATACAGCTTATTATATTTCTTTACATTTTATAATTCAAACTTTCCAATGTAATCACTTCATGATTAACAGAGTAAATCAATATTGCCTAATGGCTTGTAAATGAAAAGTTTGTTTCTATCAAATCCTTGTGGAAAAAGTTTTATTTGTATAACCTTACCACAAAACAATTTCTTAGTTTGTATTGCCACTTGGTTGAGTTTTACGTTTTGTTTTTGTTTTACGTTTTGTAAACCATTATTCCTGTTTTATTTTATATGTAAATGAATGTGCAAGTAGTATGTGAATTAATGTACTCTGTAGCCCTAGGGAAAGGTACAGTGTAATATTAGTTAAAAATATGAACCTTTTTTTTAAGGCACCGCTTGATTCAAGAAGAAAAGGATCGAATTGAAAGAGATCTCTTAGAAATTGAAACAAAGGCAAAACAAGACACAGAAGAACAAGCCCTGAGAATAGAACAACTAAAAATTTCTGTTAACATGTTTAGACACCACACTGAATCAATGACTCACATGGAACTGGACAATCGACTTTCAGAAGAAGTATGTTTAGAAAGAATATAATTGCATATTGATAATTAATTGATGAGATTATGCAATTGCTTATTGACAATTTTTTGTACTGAATATATTTTTCAGTGGAATGTTTATCTGAAGTGTGATGGGCTGCCAGATCCTGCTTCATTATCTGAAATGAACACATATCTGTATTTATGGCAATTAAATGATAACCATGATGATTTTCAAGAAGTAATAAGAAAAACTGATGAAGTTCTCAAGGTGTGCTAATATAATTGAGTTCATTTAAATTAATTGAACACAAAATAAAGTTCATTGTGCTACGTGTTCAGAATTCTTTCAAATTCAGTCAGTATTCAAACTATTCATTGTGTATATATTGTGTGAGTTCATTCCTGTACGAGATACAGCATAATATTCTGGGGAAATACATCTAATAGTTCCCAGACTTTTAGGTTACAAAAAATAATTTTGTGAATTGTAAGCAAATTCCACCTGTGTGATTCTTGTCAGCCTCTCTTTATTAATCAAGGGATTTGACCATTACCTTGTCTTTTGGTTTATGAATCAGTGGTTTTTGTCCAAAATTACTTACTCAAAGGTAGGAATATATTTTTATCCAACACCTATGTCTATAACTATAATACATTAAAGCTTTTCGAAATCTCCTTATTAATCTTTCTTTTGTTTCTTTTTTATTTTCAGTATTCTGTCACTCTCGCGTCCATTCCTAGTTCGAATTTTGTTTTTTATAACTCACGGTCTAGGCTCTGTCTAACGACTCATTATTTAGTTTCCTTTCGTTAGTTTCGTCTTCTAATATTTATGTTTTTGTGCAATTACAAGAGAAACGCATAAACACTGGTTATCACAGCATTGTAAATATTAAAACTCTCTCATACTACAGAACTAGTGGGGCTAAAAGAGCACTCACTTTCTCGCCATTAGTAATGGTTAAGGAATACTATTTATTCCATAATTTCTCCCCGAATTAATTTTTGTAAAACACATTTGCAATCGTAGAACAATTGGTGCGAAAAATAAGCAGAATGCGAGAAATAAAATATTTAAATGTTAATAAATAATACAATACTGATACTGTTGAAAAACAAATGGATCTAAAAATATATAATAGTAATTATTAAACACCATGGTATTGTAATATTCTACAAATATATAAAAGTATTCGTTTTTATTTCCGGGAACTATAAGCAGTCGCCATTATCGTGTTATCAGTGCGGCACGGCGTTTATTTTATTAAATACAACCAATGACCGCTCATCTATTCGTTTTCACATTTAACACAATTTATTAAATGCCGCAATTTTAATTGGAATAACATAAATATATATTAAATGATAATAAAATGATAAAATAATACTCAAATTCGAACTTACGTAGTATAATGATACGTAGTATAATATTTGTCTCAGACAAATTCCCTATCTCCAATTTTTAAGTAAACCAATTTTCGAAAAATCAGTGATTTCAATGTAAATGAAACCTGCACCATTATCTTAAACGTTCTTTGCACTATTCAACAACAAAATTTAATAAACAAATTTGGAGTTTTTTTTTTTTTAATTTTGAAAATGTCTCGGAGGCGTCATGTAAAGTAAAATATTGGTTTCAAATTCCAGGGTCCGCGACATCAGCTATTATTTATAGAACGATTGGAGAAGATCAATTTTTGAGAAAATCGGCTGAACGGTGTATGTAGCGTTGTGCACAGATGTTTTGCCGTCAATCGATCGCCAGGTGTTAAAGAATTCTTTTTATATATTAAGCAACTACATCTATCAACTTTTTCGTTACCACGACCCGGCATTAAGAGTTTTTGTGTCGAAAATTTGCTGTTTTCGGCGCACGATTACAATACTTTCTCTTCTGACGTTAGTAAGTACGAGAAAGTAAAAAAATTAAAGAAAACATTTGGAGCAATTTTAGAGAAAATGTAGAAAAGTTGTTTATGGAAAATAGACCTAAACATTAAAAGATTCGTTTCAAATTTGAGGGGCTGCGACCTCAGCCATCCGATCGGGTCCGGTTTTGGGAACTGCGTACGGTTAAAGGCGCTTATGTTGTTTTCAGACAGACCCACAGAAGGACATGTGATTAAAATGAACATTTTTTAAGTATCAGGGACTTCCAAAAAGGTCATTTTTCTTAAAATTTCGATATCCAAGTTATGCAGCATTACGTAACTTTCTCTATAGTAGAATGTTAAAAGAGAAATTGACACAAGAATTAAGTAATTATTTTGGAATGGTGATGGTCAAGATTGCATTACAGGAGAAGGAAAGTACCTTCTTCCGAAACCTTCCAAATTGCGTAGTATTTTATGGATAAATTCTAAATATAAAATGATAACCTTTTTTAAAGTTACGAAATTGCTTATTTTTTAAGAAATTTGTGGCTCATACTTCATGTTTTTTGTTTCAGTTATTATCAGTCTTGGAAGAACTTATAGATTTTCCATTGGAAGAAAATGAAGTGAAAGTAAAATCTTGGAAAGAGGTACAACGGAATGTATATTTTTTCATGGAAAAACAGAAACAGTTTCTTTTTAAAAATCATGTTAGATTTTTTTAAATCTTAGACATAAACACTGTTCATTTTATTCCCTTTGGATGTTATATGATTGAAAACACATCTACAGCCGTCTTCATAGCTTTACTATTCTATCGCTAGTTCAAAATCGTTAAAAGTGACGAGTTAATACAGGTTAATCCACAAAATATACCTTATCTCTGGCTGTAGGATCAGATAACCGTCTAAAAGCGGGAATATTCAACTGACATACGGTAAAATGAGAAAATTGCCGTTAATAAAGGTAGCAGCTTAATTGAGGTTTCCATTTCACCTGGTCGCATTCTATTTTTTTAGATTTCTAACATTATTTTGTAATGAGTATCATACGGTTGAGGGATCGTATCCCTGCGTACTTGGCGGGGCCTTCAGGGTCCTCAATTTTGTGCTTACAGCGAAAGCGTTACTTTTACAGTTACGCAATACATTTCGTGTGAAACTACTCCAACATATGGATGCAGCAACGTATTGTTTATTGAAGGATGTAGAAAAGCATTTGGAACTAATTGGTTTGAATGAGGTGCGATACAAACGAGATACACCAAATTTCTTTCTTAGTATGTGGTCTCTTTTGCCACTACCAAAGCCAATGAAATCTGTTGAAAACACTTCTAGGTGAGTCATTATATTTGATATTTTACTTTCAAATTCTACCCATGTAAAATAATTTATTTCTAATTTTAAGTTGCTTTATTTTTCTTGTTTTGTTGCGTCTCTATGCTCTCTCCTAACTCCTTAAGGAGCAATCTCACCGTGGAACAATCCTCTGTTAGTAATTACCTAGCATTCTCTAGGGGCCGCTGGGGAACCAATATCACGTCAGTCGCAGTCAAGTCAAGGTTTAAGAAGAAAGTGTTATCTATATTACTAATATGTTCGTATGCGGCTACAGATTGAGAGAAAACTAAGCAGTCTGTGTCGATGTGAGAGGTGTTTATGGTTACGGTAGATACTCAAGATCACGAAAAAAAATACATAAACAATTAAACCGTTCAGATTTTCATTGGAAAATACAAAAAGAATCGAATTATCGTTCAGGAAACTGCGACGCTGTCGACTGGGCTGCTTTGGCCCGCGGGTTGCAGCTCATTGCACAGAGCCTCTACATAAATTATTTCGTATGCACGCAGACATTGAGAACGCGAAGCAGGATATGTCCAAATGTATGAGAGGTGTCGTAGGCTTTGCTAGTTACGTAGAACTTCGACAAAAATCAAGAATCAATTAAGCGGATTTTCGTTATAATTAAAAATAATTAGAGCTTTACAGGCAAGCTTTTCCATTAAACTAGAGAGCTGAAAATTTGTATATTATCTACAATGACCACACGGAAGAGGAAAGGGGAAAATCCCTGAGGAGTGTCGCTTTTACCAAAAAAGTTTCCGGGATTTGCCGCGGAGACTGCTCGACCAATCCCCAGAAGCGCAGGTGCTCAGGGAATGTTGGCTTCCTGTAAGTGCCCGAAAGACCGACACGCTACGGATAACATCGAATGTGTTCGGTACTCGATTTTCCTGACTGAACGGTGATTCCGGGCGCGTCAACGGCGCCGGTCATTAGTCCCGTAAGTGTAGGGCCGAAATCCCGTAAGCGGGGTTTCCCCCGACCAGCGGGACAAGCTCTAGGCTCCCGTCTGGGCGGCCTGCATGTGTGGTTGTGTAGTGCGATTGTGTGCGTACGTAAGAGGTGAGGAAAGGACAAGGACGCGGAAGGAAAGATCGGCATTCGCCTGGTATTGATCGGAGAAACCACGGAAAGTGGCCAGAAATATCAGAGCTTCTAGAATTCTCCTCCAGACAGCGACTGAATTCGCCGTAGCTATCTAGCCAGTGGCGAAAATCCTGCAACCGCCAGGACTCGAACCTGTTGGACAGGACCTCATGGTCAGAGGTACTGCAGAGACATCACGTGGTCCCTGAGCTACCTCTCCCGGTTTGCACTCGACATATAGCCCATTTGCTGGCTTGCTTACCGAAAGTCGAATATGTAGAGCGACTTCAGCGTGTGACAATGCAGAGGGATGGATTGATTATTTCGTATTTCAGGGAGCGTATGGTCATTAGTTCCGTAAGTGTACTGAATGTTTTATCAAGGGAAGGACCGGTGTTCTTTCCCTGGGTAGCCAGATAAAGCGCCGGCCTACACGTCGCCTTGCCGAGTTCCCCATTCAGCTATCTCCCACCAGCTGGGCTCCGTCTCAGCCGGGACAAGCTCTAAGCTCCTGGCTGGTCTCCCGACATGTGTGGGACAACATGCAAGTGTGTGTGTGCGTAAGGGGTAAGGATAGCACAAGGAAGAAGAAGGAATGGTCGCGCGTTGTCCGTGGCCCGTTTATTAGGGTACTGCTCCGGCATTCGCCTGGTATTGATCGGCGAAGCCACGGACAACTACCGATCAGCGCAGGCGGTCGCTAGAATTCCCCAAACAGCTACGGCATTCGACTCAGTTTGTTTCGAGGATCCTTCCACACAGTCGGAACTCACCGTCAAGGACCTTCCGGTCAGAAGCACTGCATCGATATCAGATGATGCCCTGACCCACCTTTGCCGGCCACCTAAGGTAGGTGGATATGAGATTTGGTCAATTTCAATATCTTTGTTACTAAAAGAGCGGCTTTCGTAACAATTTTTTCAAAATCCAACGTAGGGAAACTAGAAAGGTTTAAAGTACTACTCTTAAGATTAACTAATTTTTGAGCGTCAGTGACCTAGTCTTGAAGGATCTTCAACTGAGTGAACATGACGCAAAATTGACATGACGCTTATTCTTATAATATTATATATTATAATTGCAATCAGACTTTAATACTTTAATTTTTTTAATACTTTAATACAGTACTTTAATACTCGGCAGTTTCGTTGTGGCAAGGCGCTGCAAAATACGAGAGCGTTTTCGAAGGAGTCGTATTATACTTCACCCCTAGATATGCGTTTTCGTACCCCGAGAAATTGTTCATCCACCTGAAAACAAATCGGTGGTATTCATTGCTTCTAATTTAAAGGTGTCTATCTCAGTTCACACTTCTGTGATTTTGTCTCGTAAGCCAGCTATGCTTAGCTTGGAATGCTAGACTTAAAATAATATATTGTTGAAATTTCCCATCCCCTGATGAATGTCATTAATAAAAGAAAGAAATTACGTTTCCGCAGATTTTGTTCTCCTAAATTCATGCTGCGAGTCTAAAATGCTTCGTTTATTCATTTAAGTTTGCATTTGAACGTAGAAAAGTCTATCTAATATTTTTGGGGAAAAAAAGAAAAAAGAAAAAAAAAAGAAAAAAAGAAAAAAAAACTGAGGAAAGAGAAAATTGCAAACAATTTTAAATTTAATTTCCTTGCATTTTTTGTGGCTTGATTTTTTTGTTTTCTATTTCCCAGATCATTTCTCCAACTATCAATACTCTTTAGCAATCTTTGCATTAATGGCTGATTAAGTTGCAGCTACCGATATTTGTAGATTTATGTTTTTAAAATTGTTGGCTACAATTTTTCATGTATTCAATTCTTAACGAATCTTTTTAACTCTTATCTATGTTTTGAAAATTGGCTACCATGCGAATTTTCTAGAGTCATCAAAAATTGCAGTTTTGAAGAATTGGGAATATCTCTGCAATTGCCTGAATCTCTTGGTGAAGAGAATTTTGTAGTTCGAGCTTTGCAATTGAGATATGATCATTTTTCAGACATATGCCCAACATGGGACCCCAAACCATTACTATCGGAACATAAAAAAGGTGAATTTCGATTGAGAGTATAAAAAATGTCTGATATTTACTTGCATTTTTTATTCTCATTTTTTTCCCCCCCAGATATTCTTCAGCTTTCTCAAGATGACTGGGAAGTCCTGTGTTCTTTACAAAATGATGTTTTTGATGTTGAAATGAAGAAATTGATGCAACAGAGACGTACTATGATTGCACAAGCTACAGCTCTTGCGACTGCTGCGGGAGGCATTGCCGACAAAAGAAGTGGTTCAAAAGCTTCAAAACGTCCTGCTGCGCCAGATCTACCAAAACCTCTCAAGGGCTCTGGATCAAAGAAAGTTATTGATCCAGCACAATGTGAACAAGATTATGAGATACTTATGAATGAGTTGCAAAATCTTTCATCTCCAAAAACCACATCACAATTATTTGCAGAGAGAGAAGGTAGGCCTGTAAATGTACACCAAAGTTATTCTCCTAAGCGTGCGCATAGGATGGCATACTCACAGAAAATTTTGCAAGTGCTCTGTTGTCTTATGTAATCAAATATTTCATTCCAGTAAATATGATCAATTAATGATCCCCCTTTTTTAAGCTGACAATTTGGGAAACTGACATATGACATTTGGCGAAGACGTTTTCCAAACCATCTGGTAACTCTGAAAATGGATCAACATAAAAACAATTGTAATTACAAGATGGCCACATTCTTTTTCAGTTTAAGAAAAAGAGATCATGGAATTTCATTGGCTAGGAAACATCAGGAAAAAAATGTGTGAATTTTGTTAGAAGACAGAGATTTTTTTTAAAAAAAATTTCATTTTTGAAGGTAATTATGCCTCAAACTGTAAAAATTAAAAATTCAGCAAGAAGTTTTGTCACTATTTTACATTTGGATTTGACGGTAAAGACAATATCACGCTTTTTCCTGCTTATCAACATTCTCGAAAGTTTTCTATCGAAATCACCATGGTCAACTTTTGTAGGGATAGTGTGAAATGTACTTTCTAAGATGCCGTAAACGTCATTCGGATGTTTTTTTCAAAAATTACATAAATTTTCACTTTTTGACTTGTTTCCTGTGTCATTAATATTTTCATTTGCGATAATTTGTTCACATTATTGTATTTTTGTATACATGTGCTTTAAATAATCTCATAAAGTTTCTCGAAAACTCAACCACTTGCTCAAAATTCCGCATTTTCAGAAACGTTCAATTGCCATTTTCTTACAAATGGCTTCAAATTTTTTCTTCAAACGTTTCAAATGGATGGTGCTAATTGCACTCTTTAATACCTTGTCAAGTTCATTTCAAGATATATTTTTGTTTTTTTCAGAAATTACACAAATGTTATTTTATTGAAATATCTCTCACGCTGTTATATGCACATTTCCAGCATTTTGTAAACTATTGTGTTTGTGAGTTAATATGCTTCAAATGACTTTGAATGAAGTTTTTTGAAAACTGAAACCTTTTTGTGAGAAAGAACTTAAAATTTCGAATTTATTGTAGTGCTTAAGCGCCATTTTCTTAAAAATGGCTCCAAATTTATCAAAGAAAATTTCTATTTAGTATGAGGTTTCACTGATCTTAATATTATTATTTAAATAATGATATTTCCCTTCTGCTATTAGGAACCTGAAAAATTCAAAAAACCGAAAAAATGTTACTAATAGCTGTGATAGATGGCAGCTAGCAAGGGAAAGTGGGAAGTTAGTATACCTAACTTATACCAAAGGAAATAAAAAATTTAATACGGGAAAGTCTGTGCCATCCTGTAGCACCACTAGTTATAATTTGCATTAATTTCAACCAGATACTACAGGAAAACTACTCTTTTTTTTTCAAAAAACAATTTTCATAGTTTTTTAAAGAGCTGATTATTTGTAAGAGATTTTGTTGAATTTGAGCGGCATTTGATTCACAAAAGGAGAAAATTTAGAAAAAAATTTGAGCGGTTGTAGAGCAAATATTTATAAATTCCATAAACTTCAACAAAAACTACTCACGAATTTAAAAAATTGTACATGAATTTTTTTGTAAAGAGCAATTTTTTTAGAACCGATTTTGTTTAATTCAAAAATCTTTAATTTTTTGTTATTTTGGCATGAATTTTTTACCATCCTTTTTTGACCATCAATACACAGAAAAAAATTGAATGTGGTCATAGAAGTCAGACCTTTTATTGGGCGCTTTCAATATGTCCATGACACAGGAAGACCCAAGAGGCCACAGTGGCAAGTAGAAAGGCTCATGTCCTCTTATTGCAATTGATATCCTTTATGTTGTTCCGGTATGGGTGGGGATTATGGGCATCGAAAGGCTTTGGAGAAAACTGTTGTCAGTGGAGAGAGTGATAGCACTGAGGACCATCTCAGCATATAGAACAGTGTCATAAAGTGCGGCCCTTAGCCAACATGCCACCAATGGACTTCTTAGTCAGAGGACAGTCAAATGTTTACAATAGACCTAAAAATATAAACCCACAAAGAAGCAGGAATCGGTGCAGAAAGAAGCAAGGAAAGAAATGCTGTGATACAAGGAATACCTATGGAACGAAGATATGCCTGGCAGGTGGATCCATACACATAAATAACCTAGGGGACAGGACAGAGAGAAATCATGGAGAGATAGATTTCTACCTAACACAAGCCCTGTTGGAGAGATATGGTGTCTACTGTCATAGGCAAAGAGTTAACACCAGACAACTTAATACAAGAACTATTAAAAGACAAATGGGATATAATCACACAAATGATTACAGGAATGATAACCTAAAAAGAAACGATAAGAGAATGGTAGGAGAAATAATGATTCGACAGAACATGTTTCAAGATTCCATATGCCTGCTGAACATTTGTGCATTTGGTATTGCCTAAAAGTCAGAGCAAGTGACACATTTAAATATATGAACTTCTTTGTCATCAACAAGTCTTCTGAATTATCATTGTCATGAACACTTTTGTAGTATATCTCTGTTTTGGTAGCTTTACGCCGAATCAATTTTAACAAATCAGTCATAAGAAAAATAATTTAATAGAGTGGTGCTAAATTTATCTTTCACTTTCTAAATATTAAGGATTTGCTAAAGTAACATATGGTAGTTGCAAATTTAATCTGCAGTATACATCCTTCTTGTGAGTATGGTACATTCTAGAGCTGTAAAACCTGTTTCTCAGGGCCAAATTTATACTCTGTGTGCCTGAATCTACAAAATGAAATCTTTTGGAATCCTCTATTACATTTCCGGGTGTTTGATTCTTCAGAATCATGCTGAATATGGAATTGTACTGGTACATTTTTTTCCATGTGCAAAGATAGATTAACCCTCAATTTTTAGAGGAATAAAACAGGAAATCATAATCACATTTTGATAAATATGATAATTATCTTTGTACGATTTGTAAGATTTTTATTAAATTTGTTTTATTGTTATGATTAGAGACTGGATGTCCATGCACTATCAAAAGCTAAAATATGCATGCTAACATGCACTATCAAATAGCTAAATATGCACGATACAGGGTAAATGTTGGAATTGCTCCTTTTCGAACGGTATATTTACCCCAACAAAACATCACACATTTCCATCAAAATGGATTTGTTACAGACTTCAGTGTTGCCTCAGTAACAAATGTTTGCATTAAGTGTGATGTTGTTTTGCTTCCTCTATCTTTGTCACTTTGAGAAGTAGATGCAAGGTGCTGGCCTACTTAAAACTTTTTAGAACAGTTAATTTGCATAAATAAATTCAAATTATATAGAGCTTCATATTTCTTAAGAAGAGTATTAGAATTGTGTTACAAATTACCCTGTTTTCAAACAAATTTTGAAGCAAATCGATATCAGATTTCATTTAACAGAAGAGCACTTTACTCAAATTTATTTAGCCAAACGTTCAGGTTCAAACCAACTGGTGGCAGAAATTATATAGGCTCGAATTTGAGATTTGGAAGTACAAATCAGGTTTAGTACGTACATGTTTCGCCGTTCTACTTTCTCATGTTGATGAAATTATTCTTTCTACAGACACAGCGATGCTATTAGTACTTCAAATGAGACCAAAAAAAAAAAAAAAAATTAAATCAAATACTCCACGATTTACATTCCCCCCCAATAACATTAAAAATAATAGAGGTAAAATTCTGAAACTTGAAAAAAATGTTTAGAAAGAATATGCATAAAAGATAAAATAGTATAGATAAAACTCTAAATATTGAGTATTAATTTAAAAAACATCCAAATATGCATTATGCATAAATTTCTAAAAAAAAACAAAAAAAAAACGAGTTTTTCATGAAACATATATTTAAAAAGTCTGAAAGCTTAAATAAAAATATGTATTTACATGGAAATCCTGTCTCTAGTTATGATCAAATATAATAAAACTTATGACAAATTATGTTTCTTACAGATGAAATGGAAGCCAAAATGAAAATATATTTGATGTATTCTTGCAAGCCAGATGAATTGAATTTACGCAAGTACATAATTTTGGGGGGAGTCCTTCATCTTGATCTATTGAAACAATTGCCTCAGCCATATGAACTACCTTCAAAATTTGTAATTACTGTATGTAAGTATTTCTAACAGAGAATTGTGATATTGTTGGTATACAAGTAAAACTCATTAAGCCAAGTTTTAAGTTTTTGAGTCCTTTACATCACATTTATTTTACTTTGTTAAGTGAAATTGCTGAACTGCTGAATTTTGGCTGTATTAAATTATCAATGATTTCATTTTTATCTAAGTCACGGAACAGTGACAATATAGAGGAAAAAGTCATGTTTCAACAAGGTTTTTGGTTTTGTTTATTTAAAACAATATTACATGTTAAAGCATATGTAAAAGAACCCCCGTTTTATCTCCTATGAACCAATAGGCAAAAGAAGATTGTCATTGAGAAGATAAATTTAACTGAATTAACTTCAACTTCATTTATCATAAAATAAGGTTTTTGGTCTATTTGGGTTTCACTTGTATACTGATGATGTGAATTTCTCGAATCTTCTAAATAATATCTTACTTAAACTTATTTTTTGTACAAAATATTTAATATCAATTTTTATACATTGAGATTCAATTTAATACTGGGTTATAGTATCCAGTATTTGAAATTAATGACTAATTCTCTTGTCAGTAGTGATAATCTCCATACAATCAGAAGAAATTATAGTAAAGTAAGGGTGTATTAAGTTCCAATTATTTAGTTCATATTTATTTTAGCAAATATTTTTCATTCCTGTTTCAACAAAATTTGTTGTCAATGTATATGTAGACAAAACATATTAAATTTCAGTATTGTTTTAAAATGTAATTCATTTTACTGATATTTTTGAATTCTACTAAGCAAATGAAACATTTACTGTGTCATGTACTGGACCTATCGCTTTTTTCAGTTTGCGCCAAAATAATAGTTTCTCTTCCACATCTCCTTTTTCTGGCCATAAAAGGTATGTTTTGGTCAGCATTAGATAACGCAACATTTTTGAGCATTTGCCACGAGGAATATTTTGTAGCAGCACCAAAATCAATCGATCATGCTGCATTTCTAGCAGTCTATGTTGTGCTAAATTAAGTTCAAATTGACACCAATGGCTGCCAAGGAATGCTTCAGACAATACAAGTAATACACATCTGCTGTGGTCCATACAAGCAATAATGTTTTCAAGGACTGGAAGACCAGCTTGAAAATCTCGTTCATGGAGGCACACCTAAAAAAAACATTAAGATAATTTCATTCACATGCTAAAAATCATACTGTACAACTTGTAAAATTCTATGAACTGGTCCTTTTGTAAAGCTAATGCTCTAGATTACCCTGAAGGTACAGAATTATAGTAATTGAACAAAATTAAAAAATAAAGAAAATGTGCATCTGAAAATTGTAGATCAGAAGGGTTAAAAAATACTTTGGAATCACATATTAATGGGGATGAATGTATCTGAGGCAGAGAGAAGAAATAATTGGAGTACAAATATCTACCTTGATATGACCTCGTTGTTCAACATTTGGTATCAGTTGTTGAAGAATCCATTCCCGATCACGATCACTATATGACAAAAAAACATCATATTGATAACTTTCCTTTTTTCCTTCTTTTGTTTTACTGTCTTTTAGCAGTGATAACACCATATTTCTTCTGAATATTCGCACAAACATTATTATATTCCAGCGCTTCCAGTAACATAGTACACCAGCTACTGGAATGATACCTATGATTAAATATAAGTAATTCATATATGTTTTCTTGTCTTGAGAGGTGGATGTACTTTCATATGGAAGTGAGATCTCAGTGGTGCTGCTAGAGGAGGTTGTACTTGAAGAACTTTTTCCGCAAGAATTCTCTTTTATTACAACTGGAAGATTTTTTTGTATATTATTGTCTGTTCTACACACATATGACTGTGATTCATTCCAATTACGCAGGGTGGTATTAAAATCCTGCAGAGTAACAATACAGTAAAAGAAAGAATATAAAATGAGGTAATATTTATAGCAGGTTCGATTGATTAATACCAACCTGATTATCACATACACCTGTAAAATTCTGTATGTTATTAATGCAACTATCAAAGAACTCAATCATTGGACAACTATCACAAGAAAAAGGATTGAATGAAATATCAATTTCTTCAAATCTTTTGAAATCAAATTCCATATCAATTGAAATATCACTGAGCCAGTTGCTTCGTAAGTCCAAGGTTTTTAAAAGTTGCAATTTATTGAAAATAGATTGCTTCCAAGAACCAATTCTGTTTTCTTGCAAAATTAAAGCCTGAAGTTTCTGAAGGCTGGCAAAGGAATCATTATTTAGTATCCTTATGTAATTATTGCTCATGTCCAAGAGAGCCAGGTTTTTAATATGCTTGAATGACTCTGAAGGTATATTTTCAATAGAAGACGATTGCATTCTCAGTTCTTGTAAGTTATTCAGCCCTTCAAAAGATTCGGTGCCTAAATGCTCTCTTAAATTATTGTGACTAAGATCCAAAATTCTAAGTTTGCTGAGTGGTTTAAGTAAACTGTTAAAACTTTCTGAGAGTGAATTGCACAAGGAAAGAATTTCTAAATTTGATAAACTTGAAAAATCTGATAGAGTAATATTCAATTGAGTATCACTCAAGTCCAAGTATTTGAGTTCATCAAATATGCATTTGGTTCCATTGGCACAAAATAAAAAACTTTTGTTCCTTCTAATGTTCCTCAGTGAAATATACGTTATATTAGATGGCTCATTACAGGACATTTCTACCAGAGGATTATCATCAAGATACAATGTTTGAAGGTTTGGAGTGGCCTGTACAACAGTTTTAAAAGGAAAGTCTGTTATACCACTATCTTTTAAATTAATATGCTTCAGATAGGTCATTGTTGGAAATACACAGTCACCTGCATCATTTCCATTGTCGTTACTTGTTGTACTCCTTGGAAACAAGACAAAATGTTAGTAATACATTTACAGGAAAATTATATATTTAAATTTCAATAATCTGAAATTACTTCAGTTGTTGAAATTACACAAAGAAATACTTTTAGAATTATTCTAAATGTCTTTTAAGTATTGCCGTATTATGTTGTTTTTATGAAGAAACATTTCTTACCAACAATTGCTGAAATAATTGCCTTGCAAAGAAAGTCTTTCTAAAGAATGTGCAATATTTTCCAAAGCTTCTGTAGGAATTCTGTAGAGGCCTGTGTGCGCTAAACTTAATGCTGTGAGACCTTCATTTACTTCATTTCTCCGAATTCCAAATCCAGCAGTGAGGTTTGAAAGATGTTCTGGCTCAAGAATGGTGTATGATAAGTCTAACCATAAATGGTTAGTATTTGCCAAAGGATTAAAAACAGCGCTATCTATAATCTTAATGTTTGAACATCCCTTCATATTGAGATATTCTAGTTTTGAACCTTCCAACCATGAAAAAGAATTTGATGATAGATTTGCAATTGGATTATTTGCTAAACTTAGCACTTTTAAATTTGTTAATGGCTCTTGTGATTCTGTTGGAATAAGAATGGAAATGACCAAGTTACTCATAATAATATTTTAGATTTAATTTTCATTTATTAATAAACAAATGGTGAAAATACATACCAGATGTGCTCCAACCAGTAATATGATTGCTTTCCAGATAAAGATATTCTAAATCTGTTAAACCTACAAAAGTTTCATCAATGTTTAGCCAATTTTCTATTTTATACTTTGTAACTGACAGAACTTTTAGTCCTGTTATAATAGGGAACTTTCTGATACTGTAGGCCTCTACAGCATGATCTGAGCTATTTTCAGACCAAATGGTGCAGATACTTTCATCTATTCTATCTGACCAATGATCTGTAACATTCAGTAATGCATTCAGTTTTCATTAGTAGTGGAAAATTGCTTCATAATACATTCAAAATATTTTTTTCATCTAAACCAAAAACATATTCAGAATTAATTAATGAGAAGAATGATTACATCAACAACTGGTGACCTTCCATACGGAGTGATATACGTAGTGTAAAGAAAGTTGTATAATGCCGCGGAAAATTGATTTAAACGGAAATACTCGTTTTGAGGATCCCGTTTGATCCCAAACAGAAAGTTCTTGTTTGTTTTCTTCAAAACGTCCATACATCTCTGTCTGTCCGACCGTCTGCTCATTGATGCCAAAAATGGCAGCGGAGAAGAGGGTGAGGCAAAACTGAAAAACTTGCCCAAACCAAAGAAATCATAGAACTAAGTAGTTCGAGAAAGTCTGTGCCATTCTGTAGCAGCACTAGTTTTCCCATTCTAAAATTCAAACATTCGTAGCAATTTCGTAATTCCTTTCAAGTTTTCACAAATCTCGCCCGCGAACTCATACCATATATGAACAGTTGATTACTGTTATGGTGGACTTCTGGGGACTAACTTTTTTGGTTTACTATATCAGAGGTTCACTATATCCAAGGATGCCAAAGTTAAATAGAATTTATTCACAATGATTGATTTTATTAATATATGTAGATAAACAGAAAATACATTAACAGCAAGAACTGAAAGTTTCAATATCTTTATGTGTCCTAAAATATCAATAATTTTCAATTGTTTGCTTCGTATATTTTTCATTACTAATTTCTCTAGACCCTCCTCCAGAGTTCGTGCTCTCGCCATACTTGATTCTGCATTAGTAGACAATGTTTCTAAGGATCGTAATGCAATCTTGGCACCCTTGCATGCCTCGTGCACCGTTGGAAGCCCCAATCTGCGAAGGCCCTTGTACTCGCCTAACAACATACGAGATGCTTTCGGTAGCGGCGAGGCGCAAGCGGCTGATGAAACTGACCGCTTTTCCGCGCGGCGATTAGCGTCAGGCTGTGAGGCTGTGGCAGTCGCGTGCCTATGTGCCCATGCGCTGTCGCATGTGTAGAATACAAAGCGATTTGACCTGCTGAATATTATGTAAAAAGCTTGAAACTGAGTGGCATGAGGAGATCAGTGTGGTCCCCATTCCGGGTCTGCTACGTTCATCTCAGGGGATAATTCTTCGATTATGACCTTTGGCCGATATTTTTTCAAGCTGCCGTCTTAGAAGTTGTGGCACTGAGGCGATATATTATTTTCCAGGAGGGAATTAAATTCCAGGTCGTTGTATTTGCAATAATCAAGGTTCACTATAGCCGAGGTTCAGGTTCACTACAACCGCATCTTCTTATGCCGTTTCTTGAAGTGAAACGGGGCCAGTGACTCAAGTTCACTACAACCGGAGTTGACTGTACTAGTCTATTTGAAGTTTGCAAAATCCAATTATTCACTGACCAATTTTAACTCGTTTAAATATTTACAACTTCCATGTGTTTCCCATAATAATAAATTAACATATCATTTGCAGGTATAATCTTCTATTTTAAACATTATAAAACATGACACTTTTTAGGAATTTCATAGAATCATATTTAAGATATTCGATTTTTGTGACATCTTATTTTCAGGATTATTGCAAACAAATTCAAGCACAGCATTCAAAAGCTTACAAAATTCTCGTACTAAGGAAATGGCGGAGCAAAATCAGTATAAAATTCCAATGCAGAATATGATCGGTGGACATCTTTGTACATATTTTGCAGTATCAAGAATTTGTGCTAAATCATTAATACACAGCATGAAAAGCAAGGATCCTATCTTGTTATCTTTTCCTTCATTGGACTGAGAACTATTAAAACAAATTTTCTGGTATATGTCTGCTAAATAATGCGTCAACTCATAGACATCACTCAATATATTACGTATTCATATTTTTTTTGATTTCGACAATAATAGGTTTCTATTTGTTGTTTCAAAAGCTCTCTTGTAATTCTGAAATACAGCAAGTACGACTTCACCTCTATCCATTATTCTCAACCGGTTCTCCAATGCCAGCTGAACAGCAGTTTCTATACTGGCTCGAAATTGTGATTGACACTGTCAACTAATTATTCTGCTTAATATAATTATATAAGAGTCAGGTGTACACTTTCTTCGATAATCTTTTCAACTATTGACAATGTATTGGCGATGCAATTGATTGGCCTCAGATTCTCGTATTTCACATTACCTCTAACCTTGGGAACAGGAGCAACAATTGTTTCTTTAGTTGGTCTGGCATTACTTTACCTCTTAATGATTCTCTTACTATAAAATTAACTTTACGCCCTGCACTGACCAAAATCTTTCAATTACCTCTCACTTATTCTATCAGACCCCTTCGTATTTTCATTCCCATCAAAATCTGGCTTATTTAATCATCAAATGCTTCATTAAATTTTTGGAGAGACACGTCTAATGCTTCAGAAGATCTCTTAAATATCACTTCTGGGAATGCTTTCAACTAATTCCTCTACATCTTCAATAAAAAAAATGTTTATTGTATACCAGCATTATAAACGACCTTTTCTGTTGGAAGAAATCGTTCCCGCTTTTTACGGCACAAATTATGCCGTATTAGCATTTTACACGTTCAGCCAATCGCAGCGAGAGGATCGTGGTGAGGTACAGGTAAACAGAACAGCCGACCACCATGTTCTCACACATGTCAAATGCCCGAGACGACACAAAGATCTCTCACAAAATTAAGTTTGATTCTCTTATAAATTTATAATGCTGTTACGCAAAAAATAGCGCATGCAATTCTTTAATTATTTCGTTGTATGATATTATTCGTTATATCGTATTTTGTATTATTCGTTATTCGTGGAACTTAAACACTCACATACATCAATCATTTTTTTAAATTAAAATTTTTTGCATTAAAATTTTTTACATTTGCGAGGCAATGTTAACACCGACAGTGAGTTAAGTGTTCGTGTTATATGTATTTATTATATTTATTATAAGTTGGTTACAATGTCAAAAACATGTAAATTTTTGCCTAAAATTTTGAGAAATGAAAAATAAGCGTTTTTTTTTTTT